TCGGTCGGAGATCATAAAGGAAGTAAAGACGGCGGGGGGGGGGAGCATCGACGATCCTTCTTTGCATGTCCGAGAATTAGAAATATCGCCCGGGAAGGAAATAGGTTGAGTTTATTTGCGCGCATTTCTTCAAGACCTTAAAAACATTATAAGTGCATCCACGTTTATCTTGTGCGTTTGCTATTATGGTATATTTCGGTTTGGGACGCGACGATAAGAACGCATTGACGATAAAGATAAATCCTTATTGCGACAAGACGCACGTGACACGAAGGCATGACTTAAGTAGTCGTGCGTAATTAGGTAATTGATAGTGTTAATTAGCCGACGTTGACTAAATATGTATCGCGTATCGCGGCAACTCGTGGCACGTGTGCGTAAATAATTAACGTAAACAATAACTCAAAGAGTTAAATATGCAGCATGCGCTTGACAGTTAATTACATCAAGTTAAAACTCGAAGAGAACACACCCACGCACATAAGCGAAAGAGAGTTTTGATTAGATCGTAACCAGAGGAGGTACTCGCTGTGTGAGAAAGGCAAGCATCTTCGATTCATCAAGAAAGTTACATCTAATAATCTATTTTTAGCCAATCTCCTTTTGCGATTTAGATTCGTATCGATATCCGTATATATATGTAAATACGATGGAGATTAATGCGTTTTACGACCGCCGATAACTGACGACAATCACGAGATATAGAATGTAATTATTCATGCCCCGCAATTACGCGAATTCAACGTTAAATGAATCCCCCCTCGTGACGCCCGTGAATATTTTATATAACTAATATGACAATGTATTGTAATAATTAAACTGCGCGCGATACGACGATAATTATGCGCTTTATTGCGTCATACGTGTCCGCTGCAGATGCGCATCGCGATATACATTTCAATATTCCGCGCAGGATAAAGTGAGAAACTGCATCTTATAGGTAAACAGGTATCATCGTCTCGATGTTTACTCGATTATCGTGATCGAAATAATCTTCTTCATGCGCATATAAAATATGGAAACGTTACATCGGTACATCATCGATCAGAAAGGACGGGAAATAACGACGGTTAATCGCGCCGGATTGCTGCAACGCCGCGGAAACGCGAATTTCGAGAGAAATGCTGCCCGCGAGATAAAAGAAATCACGATCGGGCGATTTCAGCGTGTTGCTTATCAGCGTGATTATCGCTCCTCGTCTTTTTTCCGCGTTGTTTCACGCGGATGTGGAAAAAATAACGAACCGCCCGACCGCCGCTAATCGAGATCGTTGTCTCGACAACTGAGTTTGCGAAGATACCATTTTTTTTACACATTCTACGATCAACGCTGGGGGAGCTTGGGTAATTTTACACCCGGATTACCATCTCTCGCCGGGTTAAAATCTTCATATATTTCAGCGTCTCATACTTGAAACGCGAGACGCTTAAGTCAGCTTACTAGAAAAAAAAGAAGTGCTAAATCAAGGCTTATATACTCATATATATGTAAGAATCTATAGGGAGCTTTCCAACAAGCGACACAAGTTGACACAAACGTCGTTCTATCTTTCTTTTTTGGCAATGAGTAACAAAGACAAAACGACACTTGTGTCGACTTCTGTCCGCTTACTGGAAAGCTCCCTATGTAATCTTGAAATGAGATACATATTGCGTTAAACGAAGACAACTTGCTTGAATGAAGTCATTTATACAGTTCAACAAAAAAAAGTTAAAATAAAAAGTTGAAATATAAGATTATAGATTGTTGCGTACATAAGTTATTTTGATTTGTCTGTGCAGTTGTTTTAATTTTTCTGCGAGTCTTCCTCGCACCGATACCAGAGTGTCACCGAGTGATACCGATAGCCCTCATTGATCTTGCGAGGAATCGCGTACGCGTCCACGTGGGACACGTCGAAGATTACTCATATATATCGACAAAACTGTCTTATATTATTCACGGAGTACAAACACTCGTCCCGCAAAAAACGGAGCCATTAACGGTCATTAAGGTTGTCGAGTTGCCAAAGCGGAAAGCGACGTTCTTCGCAAATGATTCTTTTCCGTTTGTTTTGCCCGTATCTCGTTAACGACTTTTTTTCCTCCCCGCGGAAAAGTCGCGAGACACACGCACGCACGCACGCGGGCACGCGCGCGGAATTGGAACGGCCGCCCCGCGTGAATTAATTGCCATTTGTCCCGTGACGTGAAACGAACCGCCGCCGCCACGGAGAAGCTCGATCGTTTATACGCCTCGTCGTTCCGAACCATGTGATGCACCCGCGCTCGTTCGCCCGCTCTCGTCGTCACGACACGAAACATGTGAATCGTCACGTATATGTGGGTGTTCCTCGCGACGCACTCCCGAGGAACTCCCGACTACTATATCACGTTCCATTTTCAGAATTTCGACGCGATCGATGCGTCTACACATCGGCCGCCACGTCATTCATATATAGGAATATTAGGAATTATATTCAATTTCACTCCGAAAAGCCAAACGCGCGTTTTCTCTCATAATTCACTTATTTGTCATAAAACACAACG